GAGGGAGGAAATTCGCATCCCTCCCTGAAGCGTAGTATTTTTTGAGGCCATTTTTTACACTTTCGACCCTTCTGCTTTGAAAAATAAGACACAGCGGGCTACTCAGACCTACTTAGCACAGATGGCCGTGTGTCTAGCCGTTCAATTTTGCCGTTTGACAAGAGAGGAGCGACGGAGCGACGAAACGGTATAAACCCATATTGATGTGATGAAAGTCAGAAAAGGGGTACACTGAAAACACAAAGGTAGGATTCGAAGGGTTTTAATTCCCTTTACGAAGGCATCAAAAATGAGCACCCCTGCAAAGGCATGAAAACTGTTAAAGGTGCTAAAATTCAATGCCTTTAGACATGCTTTCGTGCCTTTGCAAAGGCATTAACATTTCACATTTCCCTAGGAAGGCATTAAGTCCTACCTTAGTTTTTCCAGTTTAGGTCAGAAAACTGAGAATATTCACACAAGCTGAAAAATATATATGGACTACTCCCAGCCTGGTTGCGCCTTTGACCCTCCGAAAGACCAGCCAAACTTGCTGACAGATCGATAAAGATTGGAATAGGATTGCCAGGGCCCAGGGTGGACTATAGGACGGCTACTGGTCGGACCGAAAAACGTTCGGTCATGTGTGGTCTCATTCTCTCAAGTCAAAGTGTTATTGCCCGAGAAAAGAGGGGGGGGGGGGGTCGCCTGCCGGTTGCGTACTAGGGTTTCGTAACGCAGATTCCCTACGTTTCAGGCGGCTCACTAGAGACGACAGCACTGAAGCTGGTTTTGCGATACTTTTAACACAAACCATGGGATGACTGGTGTTTTCCGATTCCCACGCTAAAAGGCATGATAACCCAAAAAATGTGATAAAAGTATCACATTATTGTGATGAAATCATCACGAAAATTATTTCATATCAGTTTTTGTGATGACTCTATAACAATAATGTGATACTTTTATCACATTTTTTGGGGTTATCATGCCCATTAGCGTGGGAATCGCAAAACGCCACTTATCGCAAAAATTGAGTAAAAGTATCACAAAACGGATTTCACTGAAGGGTGCCCCCCCCCCCACCCCCATCCGGCCTCTGAAACTGCGCCTGGCGCGAGAACATCAAAGCATTTCCTTCGAGTCCTCCGGAGGAACCAGGAACCATACGGGGACTGAAAAGTTCGTATCCACTCAAGCCTCCGCAGAAAGTCGTCGCAGCTGTACAGTTTCGCGGCTCACAGCTTCGTGAAGCTGTTGACTTGTCGTCGACTTTTCAATTGCATAGTGTCCGGTAGACCACAAAAAAAAAATAACGAATGAAATTGCTTTCCATCGGGTCTGCTGCCCCCTTTGTCTATCTATCCCCCTCCCTGTGATTGCAACATCGGCGCGGTGTCCACAGGCACGGCCCCGGCCTTTGATCAGACGAGACCGTTCCATCACAGAGTGCTAGTGCATGGCATGCGCCAACGCCCCGCCCCACCACGCCGCGCTCGACTCCAAAGCGACGCGGGAACTTTGCCGACCGCGCGCGACTGTATCCCGTTGAAACAAACACACAGGGGAGGTTTGGAGGAAGGGGGGGGGGGAGCGTTGCGGGGTCTGGGGTGGACGTCGCGTCGTCCAAATGTCATCTCCACCAACAGCAGCGCACACTCTAAACTTGTTACCAGAAAATTTGCCTGATAACTAAGCGAAAGTTTTGTGCTGTTGTACCTGATTAAGAAATTCTTTGGTATGGCTGGTATGTTATAATTACTGTGCTGGGAAAAAATTACCGCAAGAAAAAAAGTTTAGTGATACTTATTAAAGAATTTTTTGATAGCGTAGTACTACAGCACAAAGCTTTAGATTGTAGGACACATATTGTGACATGCTTTAGAAATTTGTGTCAGATTGTGACTTTGGATTGTGTGTGTTTGTGCCGTGGTTGTGTGTAATTGTTTTCGATTGTGTGTGATTGTATCATGATGTTTCTGAATGTTTTTTCCCGATGTACACATATAGTGTGTCCAGTTCCACACCCCCCGTCGATCACAACCCTGCAGCAGGCTCTGTCTATCGCTCTCTCGGTCTCTCTCCCGCACTACCGAGGGGTAGATAACTCCTAGATTAGGTGTACAAATTTCGTAAATTGAATTTGAATTCGACTGAATTATTTAAGTTGTTCATGAATTAGTCAGAATTATGGCGATTTTGTTTTACTGGATTAGCGTGAATTAACTTGAATTAGATTGAATTGAATGTGAATTGGCTGGAATTGGAACGAATTGATTGAATTGTTTGAATTGGTGTGACTAGTATAGAATTGAATTGGTTCGAATTAATTAGGGGTGAACACTTGGCAAGGGAGTTCCCTCTGAGAAATGGGAACGTGGATTCAACGTCTAATCGACGTCGAAACATCGAAAAGATGTGGATTTGGGGGACAAAATGACATTTATTCGTCTGTTTTGACGTCAAATGGACATTAAATCGACGTTGAAGAAAAATCATTTCTCACTGGAGTTGTTTACCCCTTGCATAACTCGGTAGCTCCCGTGCCTCATCTCATCCCACTCTCCCCACTTCCCACTTCATCTTCAACTTCAAAAAGGGTTGTTACGACTGCTTGTTCAACTGAACTGGAGCCACCCATTACTAGGATACGGGGAATTGACGAACGTTCCATTCAAACTCTGCGTCACGTCAAAGATCAAAGAGCGTGGGATCGGGCAAAATGTGACGGGGCAGCGTCTTCCTTCTGATGGGGAATGGGAAAATTCATGGACGCGCGCTTTCCCTCAATTTGGACGTGAGGATCGGGGACTTTTCGAGCCAAACGTTAGTACTCCTTGATGCGATTTTTAAGGCCTATATCCAATGATGTGATATGTATAGTTGGAAGTCCAGGAGAGTTTCCGGAAAATTTCAGGAAAAACTGAAAAATTTCCGTGGAGAAATGAAAATTTTCCAAGAATTTGGAAGTTTTTCGTTGTTCACCGGAAATTTTCGGGATTTTTCGGAAAGTTTCCTCCTCTTTCTATACGGGTCGTCATTTTTGTGCACAAAAAAATAAATTGCATCGTGGACAAATATTATTCTTTCAAAAAGTCCCTGCAATCACAACTTTACCCATGCCGCTTCCGTGGACGGATGAAACTCGCATACTCACATGACTTGGAACCTGCAATCAGACAGAGAACGCACAGAGTTAGTGATACTACTTGCTACCGCACAGCACAGTTATTTGTTGCAATATTGTATTTTTATTTCCGAAACATAATGGACAAACTGTTACAACTAGACAAAAAATGTAAACAATTTTTTCAATTTGACCGCGGTTTTAAGAACAAAATTGCATTATTCGGTCTGGATGTGCTAAACCCCGACGTAAAAGGGGCCAATCACTTTGCGCACTTTTTCGCGATACCGCGCGGAGACACGTGAAGTATTACACAACCATCACTGCCGCCCCTATCGATCGCTCTGCCCTCCTTCTTATTGCACCGAAACACACACACACACACACACACACACACACACACACACACACACACACACACACACACACACAAAACTCTCTCTCTCTCTCTCTCTCTCTAGCCTGCGCACACACACACATCCGGCAGTGACTCAGACGTTGATGCGAGTGGTTTCGGTGAGGGTCCAGGGTGGCGGTGGTCCAGGGCGGTGGTGCGGTCCGCAGGGGCGCCGGCCGCCGCCCGCACCCCGCCGAGCAGCTCACTAATAGAGTTAGACACGCGGGACGGGGAGGCACGCACTGACCACTGCCGCGCCGTGCCCGCCACGCCCCGCCACGCCCCGCCCCTCTGCGCCACGCGGGGTGGGGTGGGTCGTGCGGATTACGAGCGAATCGCGCGAGAGAAAAAAAAAACATGTAGTGGGCAGGGGATCGCGAAAATATAACGGCGATTCCACGCGACTAACATGAATGCGGATTTCCCACCACGCTCTCTCTACGCATCTGAAAAAAAAATAATAATAAAAAAAAAGACCCTCTGGTCTGGTCGAGACAGTCTTGGGGACTGTCTGAAAACAGGCGCACACAGCAGCGTCGTGTGGAAGCAACGGCGCTTCGGAGGAAGCTTTTGGGGGTGAAAGGGTTAGGACGAGGCAGAGAAGGCGGAGAGGGGTGCAGTGTCCAACGCCCCTCCGAGAGGGAGGACCGGAGGGCTGCTTTATTCAGGTGCTCGCGCATTGGCCGCCCCACCTGTGCGGAGGTGCTAAACAACCGACTGCGTCACCGTCACCCCCCCCCGACCACCGACCACCCCTGCAGCAGCAGCAGCAATATATACTAAGAGGTAAAGTGTGTGGACGGGGGAAACGAGCAAAAGAAGAGATGCATCATGCATCTCTCTGCTCGACAGAGACAGCCAGACAGCACGTCCAGCCAAGGGGGTATTGTCTCTCCCTCCCCCCCCCCTCCCCCACCCGCCCACTCCACGGCTCGCTCTCCACCCCGCAAAAAAGGAGACAAGCGGAAGTCGGTGCAGCAGTCTGAATAGAGAAAGGGCCTTGTGAGGAGCAAGGGGGGAGCAGCACTGCGACAACCGGTTCACTCCACGTGTCTATCTGTCCGTCTGTCAGTGGCCGTGCCGATCCCGAGGTGCGCCCGCCGCCCCCCATCCATGGTTCGGCGTGACATAGCTTTCCGGTGTGACCAACTGACCGAAACGCTTCCGGAAGAGGGAGGCCTGCTGGGTATAGCATGAGCAGGCTCATGGGGGGGGGTCCACCCGGACAGCATAATGCCATCCAGGTCGCCTGTCTGCTGCCTGTCGGCGGGGGACTGTCCGCGGGCCTGCCCGTGGGACTGTTCGAGGCCCTACTGTCCGCGAGCCGGGCCGAGCGCGGAGCATGGCGGAGCGCAAGCAGGGGGGCCTGTGTGCCGGACATATGGCAGCGTCACGCCGGGCCCAGGAGGGCGGCAGTCAGTGACCGGAGTGATACGTGCACAGCGAAGAACACGCGACACACTGCAAATTCCGAAAAGTCAAAACGCTTTTGAAGTCCCCTGTTCAGCCTCTGGAGAAATCTTGACATTTTTATACAAAAGCCTGTTGCTCTGCGTTCTTTTTTGAACGGGACCTTTAAAAATCCGATCCCTCAACATAACTTTCAAGTGCAATAATATGAAAACTTTCCACGACGCATTATCTTTGTCGATTTTGTAATAAGTGTTTTTTTTATGGTTACATAAATATTTTTTCATTACTTTTTCCCATAATGAGCGACGACGGAAGATGATACCCCTCTTGCGCCACGCCCCGCCCCGACCACTTCTTCCAGGCAATATCCGAGTTTTCTGGGCGGCCGGCGCGCGCGCAACGCCGGGTTAGGGCCGGGGCGCGGCAGCGCAGGGCAGGGCAGGCCGAAGGAAAAATCAATACGAATGCAGCGGAACTCTGGTGGGGGAGGAAGCAGGGCGGAAGGAAAGAAAAGGGGAAAAGTGAAAAACTCGGCACATTACAAGTCATGCTGGGTGGGCAGCGGAGGAAAATGGGAAGGGCGGTGAGAGAGGAGAGGACGCGCGCCGGCGCGGCGAGCAAGACCCGGCAAACTATGAGGGGCGATATTTAAAGATTGTCTCTTACTTTCCGACTCCACGAAAACTCTCTCTAGCAATGGCCGCGTAATATTACCTGTGCCAGGGGTCTCAAACTCCGCGCGGCTCGCGCCGCGGTTTTCAAAAGTTCGCGCCCTAACCCGATACAGCAGCACCGCAGTTGGCCAAGAGCACCAGGCTAGAGATGGAAATTTCCAAAATTTTCCTAAAAATTTCCGAACATTCCCGAAAATTTCCGAAAAATAACGAAAAACTTCCAAAGTCTGGGAAATTTTTCAATTTTTCTCGGAAATTTTCCGTTTTTTCCTGAAACTTTCCGTAAACTTTCCAGGGCTTTCAACCCTACGCCAGACACTCTTTCTGCACTTGAATCCTCGACAGTCACTGATAAACCAATAAAGGCGGGTTGGGTATGGCTCACCGTCCTCGTCCTTTTGGGGTCCCATAATATTTGGATTATCACCCCGACCCC